GGTTTCTCCCATCCTGAGTGAGGTAGCCCAGTCACAAAAAGACAAGCATGGTATGTACTCACTCATATATGGAGTTTAGACATGGATCAGGATAGTGCCAGTCTGTACTTCCACTGACAGAGAGTCTGGGAAACAGAAAAGAACCTAAGAGATATGCATGGTACCCAAGAGAAGAGGAATGAGGCAAGATCCTCTGAACGTATGGGGAACACAGCAATGGGTGGGGGGGTGGGAGCTGGGAAGAAGAGAGGGGGAGAAGAGGAAGAGAGAGTAGGTCATGGGGGAACAGGAAGGTTGAGTGGGGGGGTAGAATAGGGGAAGAGAGAATCATAGGTTAGAAGACAGATCAGGCGTTGGTGGTGCATGCCTTTAATCCCAGCACTTGGGAGGCAGAGGCAGGTGGATCTCTGTGAGTTCGAGACCATCCTGGACTACCAAGCGAGTTCCAGGACAGCCTCCAAAGCCACAGAGAAACCCTGTCTCGAAAAACCACAAAAAAAAAAAAAGAAGACAGATCAGGCACCAGTGTGACCAATTGGCAAGCTAAGCAATAGTGGAGAAACCACCTTGAATGCCCATTCCTGATAATGAACTTGATGTCTATAACCATCCTGGAGCCTTCATCCAGTGACTGATGGAAGCAGAGGCAAACACACAATTAATCACTGAACTGAACCCAAGGAACCCAGTGACAGAGAGAGAGGAGCGATGAGCAAATTGGCAAAGAATGGGCTGGCAAAACCAGCAGAGACAGCTGATCTGAACAGGGGAGAGTTCTTGGACCCCAGACCGACAGCAGGGAGGCCAGCATGGAACTGATCCAGACCCCCGAATGTGAGAGTCAGTGAGGAGGCCTGGGCAACCTGGAATACAAACAGACATCATGTGTCCATAACAGAAAGAGGGATGCTCTCTCAGTCTGGTCTCTTAGGGGAGTGCCTGGACCCTACCCTGAGTGAAATGACAGACTCTAGATATCCCCTATGTGGAAGGAATTGGCAATAGGGTGGGAGGCTGGGGGGGGGGGAATGTGGGAGGAGGGGAGGGACAGGGAACTGGGATTGACATGTAAAACAAGCTATTTAAAATTAAAATAATAAAAAAATCTAAAAAAAAAAAAAGAAGTGGTTTCTCCAGGGGCAACACCCCTGATAAGTTAACACTGTCTCAGGTAGTCATCCCTAAACACATGTACATACAAGCAACACTAAATAGGCTCAGTAGGTCACATACATATCATGTACATATGTAACAATAATAGTTAAAGATGAGGCCATGAATTTGAAAGGGAGTGAGGGAAATAGGAGTCGAGGGGCTGGAGGGGTGGGAAATATAATACTAATGTATGAAATTCTCAAAACAATTGTTAAAAACTGAGTCTTGGAATCAGTAATTGGTTAGGACAACAACAAAAATAATCTCTTTTGTTCTTGGAAAAGAAGGAATTACCTCAGATAGTGACTCTTGGGTGCCAGGAGGAGAGCTGACAATAAGCAGCTTGGGAGGTCACACGATGAGAAAGAAGAGGGATGTGGGATGGACTTGACGGGAGAGAATCTCTCCACAGTCTGAGAGTCCCCATTGCAGCAGCCCGTCAGTAGCTTACGCTTCAGAGTCATCGTTATGAATCCTGGAGGTGAGGTCGTGGGAGCAGCTTGCAGCTACAGTTTCTGTGTGGTGTGCAGAGCACAGGTCTGCGGGCTCACATATCCTCAGTCTCCATCCTGTGTAGGTGACTGCCCTCTCTGAGATGAAGCAAGCCTTATTCTTCAACTGTCTATCCTGGTACCTCTGCCTCTGGTAGAGGGAAAAGATAAGTAATTCTTCTTACAAAACTGTCATTGCTGGGCGTTGGTGGCACATGCCTTTAATCCTAACACTTGGGAGGCAGAGGCAGGCGGATCTCTGTGAATTCAAGACCAGCCTGGTCTACAGAGAGAGTTCCAGGACAGGCTCCAAAACAATACAGAGAAACCCTGTCTTGAAAAAAACAAACAAACAAAAAAACCTGTCGTCACAATCTCTACTCTTTTACCATGTAACTTAACCCCAGGCTTTGTCTGAAAAGTAAAGTAACATTAAATACCTTGTAGAATTTAGCAATGGTTCATCCCTACATTACTTCTTGGATGCCGACCTCCCTATTCTATGGACAGTGAACACTGCTGTAGATCTAGTCTTTGAATGTAGAGTAGTGCTTCGAGATTAAGAAAATGGGATATTTGGATAAGGAAGACAAGGTTTATAACTCACACAAGGTAGTCCTATTTAATATGCTAAACACTTCAAATCCACAGGAAAAGGAAATCAAGGCGTGTACTCTTCACACCTTAGGGAAATAACATATTTCTCATACCAAGCCAAGCAATAGAACTTCCCTGTTACACTTGGTGCTAGCCACCCAAGATGCCTTTCTTTCATTCTATGGCAGCATGAGCTTGGCAGAACATTGAGAACTGGAGGCTGAGAAATGACAAATGTGGTCTTCCTGCTCACAGAAGCTCTCAAGCATCTTTGCTAACACAGCGTTGCCGAGAGGGCTTGAGTATGAGTCAGACGCACAGGTCAAGTGGGTTGATGAGACTTGCAGAATCTGCAAGGGCTTCTGATGAAGCCGCATACAAGAGTGTCTCTGGGCTATTGTGTGAGTGTGGCACAGCCTATAATTTGACTTGTTTGGATCTTTTTGTTATTATATGTTGTACTTCACTGAAGCCTGCTGCAAGCTCTTTTTCCTAATTTCTTGATGGAGAATTGAGGCTTTGTAGCAAGAATGCTAACTACTCAAATTTCACAAGCAGAAACAAGGAGACAGTTACAATGTTTATTAGCATTTGATTACAGGAACATGAACTCGGTTTGCCTAATTTCCTGATCACAGATGCATTTCTGTGCTCACAGAGGTGAAGTAGAGACCACGAACATAGATGGAGTGAGATATGTGCTTCCTTAGGCTCCCAGACCTCTCCTCCTTCCTAGAGCCAGCACCCTCCTAGAGCTGCAGATTCAGCAGAGGTACCTGTATTTTATCTCATGGTTCCGTTGAGGTCCTAATAGCATGCTCTTAATCCTAGGCCATGAACACCTCATCTGGGAAAAGTCAGAGTTAGTCATCAAACTTTCAAACGGTATTTCCTTAAATCTAGTCCCAGATAATCAGCATCAGAACTGTCTGAGAGGTGAGGAAAGGGGAAGACACGGGGCCTGGAATGGTGGCTCAGTGTCTAAGAGCTAATACCACTCTTGCAGGGTAGGGGAGTTTGATCCCCAGCACTCTTGTCAAGTAGCCAACAACTGCCTACCATGGCAGTTCCAAGGGGTCTGACGCCCTCATCTGGCCACCATAGGCACTTCATGCATGTGCATAAACCCACACTCACACACACATATGCACATAGTAAAAAAAATAAAGATTTTAGCTGGGCATTGGTGGCACACGCCTTTAATCCCAGCACTCAGGAGGCAGAGGCAGGTGGATCTCCGTGAGTTCGAGGCCAGCCTGATCTACAGAGAGAGTTCCAGGACAGCCTCCAAAACAATACAGAGAAACCCTGTCTCGAAAAAAACAAAAAAAAAACAAAAAAAAAAAGATTTTACAGGGTCAGCAAAAAAGAGCATTTCTTACTCTTGCAGAGCACCAGGGTTCAGTTCCCAGTATCCACATGGTGGCTTACAACCATTTACAACCTCAGTTCCAGTCCACTCAACGTGGCCTCTCTGAGCTCCCCTCATGAATGAGGAGCACATGCATACACGCAGGCGAAACAATTAATACATGAAATAAATACATCTAAAAAACGAAGATTTGTGATTATCACCTTAGGCTCCCAGAGTCAAAACTGGGACACCTAAGCAAGGACCTCAGAATCTTCTCCCAACTGTACACACTTAAGTATGTCTTTTTACTTTCAAAGGATACGAAAAGAAACAGTACCTGGCATTTACCTGGTAACTGGACTGTAATAAATATGTGTTCCCTTAATTCCTGTTTTAAAAGTACATGTTCCAGGCTGGAGAGACAGCTCAGCAATTAAGAGTACTGGCTGCTCTTCCAAAGGACCCAGGTTCAATTCCCAACACCCACAAGGCAGCTCACACCTGTAATTCCAGTTCCAGGGTATCTAACACCTTCACACCCATGAACATAAAATACATTTAAATAAAGCATAAAAGACGGCCGGGCGTTGGTGGCGCACACCTTTAATCCCAGCACTCGGGAGGCAGAGGCAGGCGGATCTCTGTGAGTTCGAGACCAGCCTGGTCTACAGAGCTAGTTCCAGGATAGCCTCCAAAACAATACAGAGAAACCCTGTCTCGAAAAAAAAAAAAAAAAAGCATAAAAGGCAAACACCATTAATCCCTTCTTAAAGGAGCCTTGGACTTCGGGAGCAAAAGGGGGTAGATGTCTACATAATCTGAAACTCTTTGGTTTCAGGAGGGCCTGCCTAACAAGGACACTGAAAGTCAGAGGATCCAATCTAGTGAGGGCTTAATCCTTTGAGACAAAGGAAGAAAAACGAAGAGAGAAAAAGAAAACCAAAACGGATCCTCAGTCAGCAAGCAGAGGAGTCTGCAACGACTTTCTCCATTTCCAACCACCACGGTACCTCGTTACTTAGTACACCGGGTGCACCCTGATCAAAGAGTTAACTGACCCCTCGGGATCAGTCTTACTGTCCCAGGATTAACAGGCAGCATTAACCGGCCAACCAGCTCCTCCCAGGAGCAGAGAAACTGGGGTTTAGAAAGACTACTTGCGGGTGGGCAGCATGGCTTAGTGAATAAAGGAGCGGCCCCGTAGCCTGCCCCCTGAGGTGATTCCTCAGAGCCTACAGGGTAGAGAACCAGACTGTCTTTTGACCACGCGCGCCTGTGCAAAATAAGCAGTTGCTTTGGTTTAAACTACACGCCCCAAGATGCAATTGCAATTTTTCTCAAAGACTACCTTTCCCGACATGCCCTGCAGCCAGGATTAGCGAGAGAGAAAAAGACCCGCAAGCCTGACTGGAAAGTTTACCTCTCCGGTACCACAGGCAAAGGAAAGTTTTTACAAGGCCTCAGGCACTCCCCGCGCTGCGTCCCGCCACCCCCACCCCGAGGGTGAGCAAGTGCTCACACCCAGGCGCCGCAGGGGAGGAGTCGACCCGCGTCCCTCCCCCCTTTCCCGGGACCTGTCGCCTTCATTCCCTCCCCTCTCCCGGGACCTGTCGCCTTCATTCCCTCCCTTCTCCCGGGACCTGTCGCCTTCATTCCCTCCCCTCTCCCGGGACCTGTCGTCTTCATTCCCTAGGGGACCAAGGCCGGAGCTGAGCCCCGGGGTGCAGCCGCGCGCCCGCCGCCGCCGCCGTCCTCATGGTTTCGGTGACCAGAGCCGTGTTTGGAGAGCTGCCGTCGGGGGAAGGGATAGTGGAGAAGTTCCAGCTCCGGTCGGACCAGCTGAGTGTGGACGTCCTCTCCTGGGGCTGCGCGATCTCTGCCCTGCGCGCCAGGGACAGGCAGGGGGAAGCCTCCGACGTGGTGCTCGGCTTCGCCGACTTGGAAGGTGGGTCGCGTCCTGCCCGGGGCTGCCGAGCGGTCCCCGGCCCGCACTGCCTCCCTTAGGCAGTCGGACTAGTCACGGCCCACGAGGTACCAGACTCCTCAGAGCGATCTTCGCACTGTGCGCCACGGGGTGCGTGCAGCCCCCTCCTCCCTGGTGTATTTCCGTGGAAGGAAAATCAAAGACGGACGCCTGTTACTACTCCACCCCCCATCGGACTTTGATTGAGCAGCAGAAATGCCTCAGAATGTAGGCCCGGTGTAAACTCACCGGAGGGTTTGGTCACTGTGGTCAGTGTGGGCCAGCACGGTGCCTCCATTTGCTCGGGGACATGTTCTTAATCAAAGGGGTACAGCCAATAGTCTGGAAACAAGGCCTCCTAGCACGGGGACATAATCATTACGATCCGTTGGGCAATTCGGATGTCTTTTTTTTTTTATGTTTTGGACAGGGTCTCATGCAGCCCTATCTGTCCGGCAACTCACTATGTGGCCAAGGCTGGCCTGGAACTCCTGATCACCCCGCTTCCAGTTCACAAATGTTGGCATTACAGGCAAAAGGCAGCAGTTTTATATTAACTCATGCGGTTAACACTCTGTTGATGCAGTGGACTCACTCAACAGGATAGACAAGGGTCCCCCTCAACTGGCAGTTTAGTTGGGAGACAGAATTTAGACGGACAATTACTAAGTTACGTCTCTGGATTGCAGTTTGATTTGCAGCAGCAGAAAAGTGAGCATCTTGCCTTTCCTTAGCATTGCATGTAACCAGACAGAAAGCAAAGTCTGAAGTAAAATTGGCAAATGGGAACAGAATTAGTCTGCTCTGCTAGGTGGTAGGGTATAAACAGATTTTGTACCAGAAGAGGAGGTTTGAGGTTTTCCTTTTGGTGTGTCTTTCTACCTACTTGGTTCTTCAGATGTTTAATTTGGCTCTTGGTTTGGGGTCAACAAGAAAACCCTGTTTTTTTTTTTTTAAAGCAAAATGAGATGTGTCCCCATGGCGTTACATCTTGACTTCCTGAGTTTCTCCTGTGTTTCTCCTACCCAGAGTCCTCCTGGATTCCTAGTCCCACCTATCTTGGTTCCCTATTGGCCAACAGTGCTTTATTGACATATACATAGGACTTCCCCCATCAAGTAAGAGAATTAGAGGTGATGGTGGTGCCTGCCCTTAATCAGTCTCTGCCAGGGGGCATTACCCACCACCTTATAGAGACTACAACCGCCCTCACTCCTGGACCCTCTTAGTTCCAAGGTGAGAGTCTCTTGGACCTGAAATAAGATCACAAGATGTCTTTGGAGTCCGTATGAAATGGGAGCTGAGATGACTTCCCACCGGGTGACACCAGTTTCTTTACAGGCATGGAAATACCAGTTGTGAGGCCATTCATCTAAGTTTGGGGTGCCTATTGGGGCTCAGTGAAAGAATTAGCCTCACCTATTCATAAAAGCTCTAGACAAAAGGCATTGGCTCTCCTGGGATTAGAGTAGCCCAACAGGTTCCTTGTTGGGCTCCCTGGCACTTGAGAAGGCTCTAAAGCAGTGGTTCTCAACCTTTGGGTTGCATATCAGGTATTTGCATTAGGATTCATAACAGTAGCAAAATTACACGTATGAAATAGCAATGACATAATTTTATGGTGGGGTCACCACAATGTGAGGAAGTGTATTAAAGGGTTGCAGCATGAACCACTGTTCAATAGCATATTCTTATCAAGATGCATCACAGCCTCACCAAATCAGAACTTTTAAAATATTCTTGCTGATGTGTCTATCAAGATGGACATTTTCATTCCTGGGCTATAATTTGATACTGAATTATTTTAAAAGGAGAGAAACACTATTTTCAAAAGAGAGGTTGAAAGGAAAACATGTAGATTATTAATATTAAGAAGTGCTTTCTAGCTGGGCGTTTGTGGAGCACGCCTTTAATCCCAGCACTCGGGAGGCAGAGACAGGTGGATCTCTGTAAGTTCGAGACCAGCCTGGACTACCAACCGAGTTCCAGGACAGGCTCCAAAGCCACAGAGAAACCCCGTCTGTCAGTAAGCAAGCTGCAGAGGTCTGAGGGCTGGTTTGGGGTGTAGCCCAGTCAATAAAGTGCCTGCCTAATGTAGTTTTGAAGATTTGAAGAATTCCCAAGTAGTGCACACCTTTAATCCTGACACTTGGGAGGCAGAAGCAGGCAGATCACTGTGATTTTGAGGACAGCCTGGTCTACAAAGGAAGTTCCAGGTCAGCCAAGGCTACACAGAGAAACCCTGTCTTGGAAAACAAACCAACAACAACAGCAACTCCATCCCTAGTGCTGTATAAAAACAAGACATTGTGATGTTTGCGATAATTTCAGCACTCATGGGGATGGAGACTGTAGCATCAAAAACCCAGGTGTTGGTGGCACACACCTTTGATCCCAGAGTTTGGGAGGCAGGGGCAGGTGGATCTTAGTGAGTTCTGGTCTACAAAGAGGGTTCCAAGACAGCCAGAGAAAGCCTATCTCAAAGCCTATCTCAAACAAACAAACGAACAAACAGAAAAACAAACAAAACCTGGGTTTTGAAGAGGGAGTGGAGACAAAAGAGGTTTGGTTAAAGACTGAAGATTGACACTGCAGATGCCCAACGCTGACAAGTCCTGACTTAAATCAATGCTTTGTTAATGCTGTGTGATCTTCAGTGAGTTGTTTAGGGCTCCAGACCTGTTGTGTGTGTGTGTATCTGCCCCTGTCTGTCCACGTGAGCAAAGTCTCTAACTGAGAGAAGTGTTAATCGTTGTCATCTCTTTTCCTTCTTTTGTCCTTAAATAGCTTCTTTCACTCTGCTAGACTTTGTATTCATTTAACTTTGCTTATCCTGATACTATGTCATGGAGATACTATCTAAGTGATTGTCTATTCATGTTTTCTTACAGCCTAAGGACAGTAGTTCAGTGGGTGGAGCTTCGGAGGGAAAATAGGGAGTAATTTTCCTTAGGAGTAATTTTCCTTCAGACTTTAAAAGGGCCTTCTGGCAAAGTCGTAGGCTGTCCGATATGGGTGGCATGGGAATAGAAAGGCTGTATGCTACCAATAAGCACTTACTAATTTATTCTGGCTCAAAGAACCAGGACAAACTTTACTCTTTCAACTCGGCAGTTGAGTTCACTGTTAGACCTAGGAACTTTGACCTTTTGATGATAAACAATATTTTCTGCATTTCAAAACCCTTTCAGTCATGCCCTCTTCTGGATCTGAGCTTGTCATTTTTCACAGTCCTGATTGGATGGGAAGGCTTTGTGATACTTGATGCCTTTGTTCTGTGAAGGGTTCTCCAGAGACTACAAGGGAAATGCTTTCTTGGTCCTAACAGTTTCATTTCTAGAAACTGTTCATCCAAACTAAGGAACTGGCAAGTGCAGCTCTTTTCCAGGGCCCAAGTCACTGTTGAAGGAAGAGGTCCCCAATGAAGGTATTCTTACAGGCTCATGAGCAGGAGCTCTTCCACCTGGGGTTTTTCCACTGTGCTGTAAGCCTGTATATAAGCCTGCTCCCTCTTCAGAGAGAGGGAGAGGGAGAGAAATCTCTTAGCACTTGCAATAAAGGCACACCAGCAGACACATATATGCAGCACCCATTCTCTGGCTATAAAGGCAGCAGATGCATTCTCTTAGTACAGACAGCCAGACGACTTGTCTTTCATTTCCCCGTGCCTCGGACTTGCTTGTGGCACAGACGCCACAACTGGTAGGTGATGATGTGCCTAAGAGCATGGACTCAGAGGATGTGGTGACACATACCAGTAATCCCAGCACTGAGGTAGAAAAAGAATTACAAGGCCTAACTGGGCTGTGTAGCATGATCCTTCCTACAAAAGAGAGAAACAGAGACATGTGAACTCTGCAGCCAGACTTTCAAGATTCAATTCTGGGTTTTATTGCTTGATGGTGTTGGGAGGCAAAGTATTTTAACTTCTCGGTGGAACGGGGGTAATAAGAGTACCTCCCTTCCTTGATGAAAAGTTCTAAGGGTGAAATGCAGAGCGTCTGGAACTTAGAAATTGCTTGGTGATTGTTAGCAGTCAGAGGTGGAGCCCAGAACCATCATGTAAAGTGGTTAATGTTTAGCTTGTGCCGGACCAAGTGAGCAGTGGGAACCTGGCTTACTCAGTTCAGGTTCTGTACCTGTACAACTGTGGAAAAAAGAATTTACTTGCTTGAATCCCATTCTGTGTTGATCAGAAGTGGTGGTGGTTGTACAGTGCCTTGGGGAAGAATTCTTAGTATAAAAAAAAAAACTGTGCAAAAAATCCTTGATGTTTTCTGTTGTAACCCAAGCATAGAGGAATGTAAGGAAGTGGGAAATGCTACAGTTTGCTTGCTTACATGCAAAGTCATAATTGCAACAATGCAACATTGCTTTTTACAGCGCCTGCCAATAATATTTTATGTTCATCAGGATACCCTGTAGCCATCAAGAGAAATATGGTAGATCGCTATGTTAGGGATGAGATTTTAAGACTTGTAATAATCCCGGCAGTCATGGTGCACACCTTTAATCCTAACACCTGAGACTCTCTGAGTTTCAGGCTAGCGTGGTCTACAGAGCAAGATCCAGGACAACTAGGACTATTAAACAGAGAAACCCTGTCTGGAAAAACCAAACCAACCAAACAAAAAACAATTCATTGCTTATCTGAAATGCAAATTTAACTGGGCATTCTGTGTTTCTTCTGGGAAGCCTGCCATATATCCTTGTGTTTTACTTAGCCTTCTTTTACTTCCTAATTGTATGGTATATTTGAAGTTTTAAAAAATTGTGTGTGTGTCTTTGTGTGTCTGTGAGTGCATGTGCCCAGATTCTCTGGAGCTGTAATTTCAGGAGGTAGAGAGCCACCTGATATGATTGCTAGACACTGAACTTGGATCCTCTGTGGGAGCAGGTATGAATTCTTAACCACTGAGCCCTCTGGCTGGTTTTAAAAAAATAAAGTCATAGTTTTCTTTCCAGACTGCATAAGAGGTGTTTGAGAGATGGCTCAGCAGTTAAGAACACTTGCTGTTCTCTCAGAGGACCCAGATTCAATTCCCAACACCCATACAGCAGCTCACAATTGTATGTAACTCTAGTTCCAGGGGAATCCAATGACCTCTTCTGGCTTCCTCTGGCACCGGGCATACATGTGGCACATTGACATACATGCAGCACATTGGCATACGTGTTGTGTATGTGCGTTTTTAAGACTAGGCTGGGCCTAGTGGTACACCGGGAAGGCAGAGGCAGGCAGATCTTTGTGAGTTCAAGGCCAAACTGGTCTACAGAGTGAGTTCTGGGATTGCCGGAGTTAAACACAGAGAAACCCTCAAGACAAACAAACAAACAAACTAATGCTATTATGTCCTGTCTGTGTGTGCAGGCTATCTTCAGAAGCAACCCTACTTTGGAGCAGTGGTTGGGAGGGTAGCCAACCGAATTGCCAAAGGAAGATTCACAGTGGATGGGAAGGAGTACCACCTGCCCATCAACAGAGAGCCCAACAGTCTCCATGGAGGTTTCAGAGGGTTTGATAAGGTGAGTTGAGCCCCTCTTGGCACACTTCAGAGTCCCCTCAAGCCTGTATATGGGAGACTTAATCCCACACCCAGGAACGCCCATGTGGTGCAGGGATCCAGGAAAGAGTTTGCTGGTTCCTGACTTTGACAGCCTTGGACTCAGGAAGACAGGGCATGGCTTCCACAGTATTAGCCTCAGGGAGTTGGGTTTCAGAAACATGGAGTAATGATTATTCCTACGATTTACTGCACAGGCATTTGCATCTGTTTTCTCTAGTCCTTGCTAAAACCGTGCATGATCACCAAATGTGACTGCCGAGGCCCCAAAAGGCTCCACATCTCCTAGTAGGATAGTGGGGCCTACTTGGCCCCAGATCCCTCATTCCTGCACGTTAGTACTTGTGTCCTCCAAGGCTCCCGCCAGTGTACACAATTCAACATACCTCCTTGAGTCTGTCCTTCGGCCCCTCCCCCATACATAGCGTGCACCACACCTGGGTCTATGCTTCCACTGAAGTGTGTTGTTCCCCACGGTTAGCTCAGGTTGTCTGCAGGTCCCCTTTCTGAACACGCACTCCCAAATCCCTGGGAAACGGAGTCAGGAGGGCACGTGATGTACAAACCCTACCTTGTGCTTCCCAGCCCTGCTGTGAGTCATGCTCTGGGCTTCCAGGGAGAAAACCATAGAGGTAACTTTCCTCTGGCCTTAGCAGAGAGGATGAGACCGTGGGTGGAGGTTAAAGGCCGCGGCTGCTCTCTGTTCCCCCACTTCAGTCAGCAGCTTCCTGTCCTAGATCCGGACAGCCCTGGTGGTTCCCTTCCCTCAGCGAGGTGCTTCTCACACTAGGCAGAGCAGACCATGGAGGGAAGTGTCAGTTCTGCCAGTTAGGGCTGAGGGTTTCTACAAGACGCCAGGTTCGTGAGCAAGCCTCAACCCAGAGGAAGCTGGACCCAGCCTTAGCTGGGACAGGGGTCTGCGGAGGGGCCTCAAAACAGTGGCTTGTGTTACCCACCATGTTCTTCCTTTTCCTGTGTTTTCTATGGCATTCATTGACACACGTTCCCTTTTAGAACACAAATACCAAGTGCATAGCTGTCTGCCTCCCCCCTTTTTTTCCTGCAGGATCCCATGCTGGCCTTGAACCGGCTATGTGTGTGACTGAGAATAATCTTCAACTTATGACCCTCCTTTCTCTAGCTCCCCATTGCCGGGACTGCTAATTTGTTTTTGTTTTTTTTGAGATTTATTTTATTTATATGTGTGTGAGTGTGCATGTCTGTGTGTGTGTGTGTGTGAATGCGCACGCGCACACACAATTGCTTAAGTGAGGCCAGAGAGAGTGTTAGGTTCCTGGAGCTACAGTTATGTCTGTTTTGAGCTGCCAGATGTGGGCACTGGAAACCAAACTTGGGCGCTGTGCAAGAGCATCCAGCACTCTTAGCTGCTGGCCCGCTTCCCCAGGCCAGGAGTCGCTTCCCACATGCCAGGTGTTTACTCTGCCAGCTCAAGTACATCCCCTTAACCCTGCCTGAGCACATTTGGTTTCAGTACAACTGGGCACACAAACAAGGTAGTTTGTTAAGACAAAGGTCCAAATTAGCTCAGGTTTCTGGCAGCTGGAGGTTTAAACGCATGGCACCAGCCTCCGGTTGTGTCTCACATGCAAGCTCTTTCTCCCTTTGCTTCATTCAAACATGGAGGAGGCCTCTTAGGATAGCTGGGAAGCTCAGCTCTTTCTTCCTCTTACTATAAAACCATCATGGGGACAGGGCTGGGCTTGTCATCATGGCCTCATCCAGTCCTAATCTCCCATTAGGTGTACCTTAAATACCCCTACCATGAATTTGAGAACCAAATTCCCAACAGACAAAACTTTTGGGCAACACATTCCAACGATGGCAGTGCCCTTTATTGGAGAGAGTCCCTTGTGTGCACCTGAGGTTCCAAGGACGGCCCCCTCCATAACTGGTGAAGGAGCACTGCAACCACACAGACATGGACAGTGTCTGGGGGAGGCAGGGTGAGCACGTGCATAGCAAGGGGGTGGGCTTGAGCTGTCCTTGAGGAGCAGAGAGCATCTGTCTGTCCGTCTGCGGGTGGCCCAGAGCATGACTGGAGGGAAAGACATGGCTCTTTTTGGTCCACTGGAGTCTGGGGCAGAAAGAGTTAATACAGTAACTCAGCAGCACTGCTGAACTTGATGCTTTATTCTTCATTTGATCCCAACAATAAATGAATAATTTGGTTTGTAGATGATGTGTTTTTTCTATTTATATCAACACCTGACAGGACTAGAAATAGTATGAGAAGTACTAAAGATGTGAGATTTCTGGAAATTCGGAAACCCAGGGTCAGGAAACCCTTTCCATGGATAGGAATTGCACTTAGCTGAGGAAAATAAAAATAGTTCCATTGTGCCCTTTCTCTAAAGGCCAAAGATCTAGGTGGCAAGGCAAAAAACATTTTATTTCAAACATTTAATTCCTAAAATTTTCCATTTGAGAATTTTTTTCCTTAAAGTTACAAGTGTAACAGGTGCCTTAATTTTTTAAAGATTTCATTTGTGTGCATATGTGTGCTTATCTGTGTGTATATATCTTTGTATGTGTGTATGTGTGTGCCCATGTATATATCTGTGTCCATGTATATGTGTGCTTGTGCATGCTTGTGTGTATGTGCATGTGTGTGTATATTTATATGTGTTCATGTGTGTATCTGTGTGTTCTGTGTGTGTGTTTGTGTGTTTGTGTGTCTGTGTGTGTGTCTGTGTGTGTGTGTTTGTGTGTTTGTGTGTCTGTGTGTGTGTCTGTGTGTGTGTTTGTGTGTCTGTGTGTGTTTGTGTGTCTGTGTGTGTGTTTGTGTGTGTGCGTGTGTTTGTGTGTGTGCGCCCGTGCGTGTGTATGTGTCTGTGTGTTTGTGTGTCTGTGTGTCTGTGTGTTTGTGTGTGTGTGTGTGTGTGTTTGTGTGTATGTGTGTTTGTGTGTCTGTGTGTGTGTGTGTGTCTGTGTCTGTGTGGTTGTTTACTTTTACTCTTTGCTCTTTGTTGGTCCTCCACCCAGCTCCCAAGTAAATACATTTACAAATAAGATTTATTCTTTTAATGTTTTTTATTAATTTATTTTTTATATACTAACCCCAGCTCCCCCTTCCTCCTCTCCTCCTACTCTCCTCACCCCCCATCTCCCCATTCCCCCTACCCCCGACACCTCCCCTCCTCTCCTCAGAGAGGGTAGGGCCTCCCCTAGGAAGTCTACTAAGTCTGTCCCATGTCTCATTGAGGCAGGACCAAGGCACCTCTCCACCCCCACAGCCTTGGGTCTAGGCTGAGCAAGTAAGACTTATTTATGAATGCCTGGGCTTAGGTGGCTTGTTTCTAGCCAGTCTTTTTTTTTTTTTTTTTTTTTTTTTTTGGTTTTTCGAGACAGGGTTTCTCTGTGGTTTTGGATGCTGTCCTGGAACTCTCTTTGTAGACCAGGCTGGCCTCGAACTCACAGAGATCCGCCTGCCTCTGCCTCCCGAGTGCTGGAATTAAAGGCGTGCGCCACCACCGCCCGGCTTCTAGCAGTCTTAACTTATCCCATCCACCTTTTGCCTCTGGGCTTTTACCTTTCTCTGTTCTATATGCCTGTCTTTACTTCATACTCCGCGGCTGAGCGCTGGCACCTCCTCTCCTACCTTTTCCCCTCCTATTTATTCCCTCTGCCTGGCAGTCCCACATGTTCCTCTCCTGCCTATTGGTCGTTCAGCTCTTTATTAGACCAGTGGGTGTTTTAGGCATGCGAAATAACACAGCTTCACAGTTAAACAAATGCAACATAAAAGGATGCAGCACATGCCGGTGCTGGTGGCGCACGCCTTTAATCCCAGCACTCGGGAGGCAGAGGCAGGCGGATCTCTGTGAGTTTGAGGACAGCCTCCAAAGCAATACAGAGAAACCCTGTCTCAAAAAACCAAAATAAAATAAAAAAGCATGCCACACATCTTTGCATCATTAAACAGATGTTCCACAGCATAAAAGAATGTACCACAGCTAACAGATGTTCCACAGCGTGCGTGTCTCTATGTGCTGCCAGTGTAGAGGTCATAGGACAACTGTTAGAAATCCATTTTCCCCTCCCACTGTGTGCTCTAGAAGTGGAACTCAGGTTGTCAGGTTTGCATGCAAATGCTGTTGCCCTCAGACATGTTTTGCCACCCCTAGGCTTCCTTTTTGATTTGTGTTTAGATTTATTATTTTATTATACATCCATGACTGTTTAGCCTGCATGTATGTCTGTGCCCTGCATGCCTGGGAAAGGGCATCAGATCCTCTGGGACTGGAATTACGGATGGTTGTGAGCCTTAGTGGGTTATGGGAATGAGCTTGGGTCCTCTGCAAGAGCCATCTCTGCAACCCCTAGGGCTCCCATTTTGGATGCCTTGAAAGTTTACCTTTTTGGGGAGTTAATTAGGGCATCATCTGATCTCAGTGAATTTGTTCTCTGCTTTCACTGTGGGAATGCAGAGGCCTTTGTCCCGTCTGGGCTCCCTTCCTGTCAGATGCTCATTTTCTGAGAGCAGATCCTGGTCGGGGGTTGAGTGAACAAGACCTGGCCTCAGGGGCTGTTCCTCTAGTCTAACAGGTTTTAACTTTTAACGTTAGGTGGAATGACATGGTTTAGCTTAGCTGTTCTGTTAAAAATGGAGATTTGGCCAGTTATGCTTGCCAGGAGGAAATGCTGCAGAGGGAGAGGCAACATATCATAGGTTTGAGTCTAAACCTAAACCTACACCTGGTCCTTAAGAAAGGATGTTTGGGCTGCTGAGATGGCTGGATGGTTGAGAGTACTTGCTGCAGCTGGTGGGGCATAATGGCCCTCGGGAGTCAGAGGCAGGCGGATCTCTGTGAGCTCAAGGCCAGCCAGGACTACATAGAGGATCCAAGTTCAGTTCCCAGCACTACATCAGGCGGCTCATAACTGCCTTTACCTCCAGCTCCAGGAGATCTGAAGCCCACTTCTAGCCTCCACAGACATATTAGTTACCTACCCCACACAGACACACAGGCATTTTAAATTTTTTTTCGTTTGTTTGCTTTTTGTTTGTTGAGGCAGTGTTTCTCTGTGTAGCCCTGTCCATCCAGGCTGGCCTTGAAGCCGAGATTTGCCAAAATAATGATTTTTAGAGACAGGGTTTCTCTGTGTGGCTTTGGAGCCTATCCTGGCACTCACTCTGTAACCCAGGCTGACCTTGAACTCACAGAGATCTGCCTGCCTTTGCCTCCCCAGCGCTGGGATTAAAGGTGTGCGCCACCAACACCCTGCGTAATAAGTATTTTTAAATGTAAATTTAAAGAACACATTTGCTGAAACCAAAATGTGGACTATCACTGGCAGCTAGACTTGAGTTTGAATCCTAGCTCTAGCCCTCATTACAGGGTTGATTTTTAAGCAAGATTCCACCTCATCTCCCTTTAAGCCACAAAGTACTCTCGGGTAGAAAGAAGCAGGAAACCTGACTCCACTGAACTCAGTACCGAGATAACAAAATTAGTTGGCGCTGTAAGAAATGGTCAGGGCTCAACCGTTGACCTACACCTGGTTGAACCAAATCCTGTACTTCAGGTGGCTTATGGGAATAAATAAGCGATCCAGGAGCACCCGGCCAATTGAAGAACCTAATCCTGTACTTCAGGTGCTTATGGAAAATAGATTAGCAACCAAGGAGCACCCAGCCAACTGACGTTCTTGTACTTTGTCCCTTTGCTAGCTATCCCGAACTGCACAGGCATGAGACTCTGGCCAGTTCATTCTGATGTCTGTAGGACAAGGAGCATGCTCTGGCCCAAATCCATTGTTGCTGTCCAGGTAGCCTTCGGTGAACAGTTTGTCCATTTAAGGAGTTTCTTTTTCTTTTTTAAAAATGACACATACGTTGGATGGTGGTGGCGCATGCCCCTTTAATCCCAGTGCTGGGGAGGCAGAGTGGATCTCAGTGAGTTCAAGGCCAGCCTGGTCTACAGAGCAAGTGCCTGGATAGCCAGGACTGTTGAGAAACCCTGTCTTGGGGGACGGGTGGTGAGGAGGGAACCATATGTAACAGACTTCCTTTTTTCCTGAGCTTCGGCTTTCCGTTGTTGGATAACAGGGCCTCCTATCTGTCCTCTCTAAGACAGTGAGACGGCCCCTGTGAAGCTGCTAGCCAGGTGTGGCTCACCATGCTCACTTGATAATGTGGGGTTTCTCTTCACTAGAGTCATTCTGTTGTGCCTAAATTCTGTTTTTTATTTGATTTTATTTTTTTGGTTTTTCGAGACAGGGTTTCTCTGTGGCTTTGGAGGCTGTCCTGGAACTAGCTCTTATAGACCAGGCTGGTCTCGAACTCACAAAGATCCGCCTGTCTCTGCCTCCCAAGTGCTGGGATTAAAGGCGTCCACCACCAACGCCCGGCAGTGCCTAAATTCTGAACCCCAAATCACCAAGAGGCCCACTTCGATGCAAAAGCAAAGAGTCTTTATTGAAGTTATTTAACTTGCTAAACCCATTAGCTCGGATCCTTTGCCCCACCACCAAGGCAGACAGCTGGAGAAAGACCCCTAGCAACCTCGAGGCGGGGATCTTAAAGGGCAGCGAAAGGGGAGGTATGAAACAGTCTCAGGATTGGTGCGCTTCCAGGTTTGGATGACCTGGCTGGTGTTGATTGGTCAACTGGTTGTTATGGCCCATAGGCCCTCCCAGGGCGGTTGCTATGCTCTGCACGTCACTGTTGTGCACTTGTTCTTAAGGCAGCCCCAGAGCTGTAAAGCACAGCCCCGCCAGCTAACTTCTGATTGGCTCCTTGCCTCGAGGAGGGCATCTGACCTCCTAGTGACCAGGACAGGAGCAGCAAGGTCAGGAAAGCACGTGGTAGCCTGTCATGGCTGCTAAAACAGGGAGGCTGGTCACTACAGGAGCCTAGGACTGCTGGGCAAAGCTGAGAGGCTCCACTGTAAACCCAGGACTCCTGTTTCCATTTGCAAAAGTGCTCTTGGAGAACTTCTCCATAGTTCTTACTGTTCTTAGCAGCATGTTTGCTGGACTAAGAAGGTCTCTTCAGGGTAACTTTTTCAGTACCTCTATTTTAGGGAAAGGTTGGTTCCCAAAGCTGCACCCTGAGCACGGGACACCCTAATTCCTAAATCAGGACTGCTGACTTATGGGTTGCTACTCTTCCAAATGGAATAAGCATGCTAGCTATTTGCTTTAAACCCTGCACAACGAGCATGGGCAACCTCAGAGTATTTAGAGTAAGTATTTACAGAGGGGCTGGGAGTGTAGCTCAGTGGGAGAGCACTAGCCTAGCATGGGCAAAGGCTTCTAACGCCTTTAATCCCAGCACTCAGGAAGCAGAGGCAAGCGGATCTGTGTAAATTCAAGGCCAGGCTGGTCTACCGATGGAGTTCTAGGACAGGCTCCAAAGCTACAGAGAAATCCTGTCTCAAAAAAGACAAGTTAATAAACAATTAGATGTCTATATATAGTAGTAGTAGAAAGGGGTTGATTTTTTGTTTTTGAAGATAGTATCTCATGCAGCCCAGGCTAGTCTGGAACTCCCTAAGAGCTGAGGATGACCTTGAACTCTTTGATTCTCTTGACTACCAAATGTTGAGGCTTTAGTCATCTGCTACCATGCCAGAACTTGTGTGGTTCTAGAAATTTTTTTTCCTAAAGTCAGCTGTGTTTGCTTTTATTTAGAAATGCAGGAAAATCCATGAACAGCAGACAGGCTGAGGGAAGCAAGGGGGAGGAATGACTGGGAGAAACTGATCAGAGAGGCTGGGGAGTCCAACTCTGTGTTACAACACTGTAGGATACAGGTGCCTCCCTTTGAAAACATGGTGAATAATCTGTCATTGGTATGTGGAGTGCTCTTTTTATAGGAGAGAACAGGTAAGAAGGAATGCAGAATATTAATGCATTAAGTTAGTCCTTACCTGAGTGGTTCTAGAAATTTAATCCAGGGTTTTGTGCGTGCTGGGCAAGCACTCTGCCAAATGAACTGCATTCCTGGCCCCAAGGTTATCTTTAAATGATATAAGTAGGTTTTGATGTCTTAATATTTGTCAGACTGGAACTCTAAGATTAAAGTACACGTCAAAGCCAGTCGGTAGTGGCACATACCTTTGGCCCAGCCATCATGAGGCAGAGGCAGGCAAGTCTCTGAATTTGAGGCCATCCTGGTCTACAGAGTGAGTTCCATGACAGCCAGGACCAGGGGATAGGGTGTGAATCAAAAGGAAAACAGACACATAAGTATAAAGTTAGGAGAAGAAAATGTAAGGCATGCAAGTAGATACGGAGGAAAACGTTTTCCCTCAAAGGCCATCTTCCTGCAGGAAACAGTTTTAGGTGAGCAAAGCTCCAGACTATTATTCAGAAGTCTTCATCTCCGCATAACTAGCTCCTTTTCTAGGTCTGTGCTCTTTAAATATTGAAATGTGGTGTTCTGGTGGGCACTGGAGTGACTAAGCAGCTTTAAACACTTCTTCCCAGGTCCTCTGGACCCCTCAGGTGTTGTCCAATGGCATCCAGTTTTCTCGAGTCAGTCCAGACGGTGAGGAAGGCTACCCCGGAGAGCTGAAAGTCTGGGTGACGTATACCCTGGATGGTGGAGAGCTTGTAATCAACTACAGAGCACAGGCTAGCCAGACCACACCAGTTAATCTGACCAACCATTCTTACTTCAACCTAGCAGGCCAGGTAAGTGAACTTCCATCTCTCCTGCTGTAAGCAGAGTGCTGGAGGAATGGCCATGGAATGTGGCTGGAGAGACCAGCCCATCTCGGAGATGAACTCATGCCCTTGGTGATGAAAATGATCCTAGCGGAGTATCTGGCTTTAAGTAGATGCTCAGTAACATGGGAGTCATAGAGGAGGAAGTGACTATGTCATCCTGCCAAGGGAGGTAGCTATATCCCTGTGATACAGACGAGGCATGGGTTATTTCAGGGATTCCTTCTCATCTAGCTGTATGAATGCACATTTTGCTCCCCTTGTACTTCTGCTTGCCCCCAAACTGCCCCCACCTAAGATGCCTTCCTTAAATGTTGGAAATGAGCCTGTGTGCCCAGCCCCTTTAAATGTGCCACGGGTAGTGAGTGCTCTGGCTGTGTGGTCCTACAGCATCTCCCTGGCTTCTAGTGGTCATTCTTACCCTGAGTAGTACAATAGACAGGACACTAGACTAGAATTTAGAAGAACTGGCTTTTTAAATTACTAGACATGTTCTCAGTTTCCCAATAAAGGCTAACTTTGTTTTATCATCTGTGTCCGAAGCACTTTATGAAGTTGTTGGTGGAAACATTGAAACCAGCCTAGTAGCCAGACCCTTAGCAACATCTGAGAAGGCAGGCAGAGCCCTGTGAGTTTGAGGCCAGCCTGGTCTACAAAACGAGTTCCAGGATAGCAAGGGCTACACAGGGAAACCCTGTCTTGAAAAACCAAAACAAACAAATAAATAAAATGACATTTGAGAGCTGTGTAGAGTTGATGATAGCCTCTTTCCTCATTAACAGTCCCCTGTAAGCCAAGTCATCCCCTGCTATTAGTTTTAGCCTGTCCTATGATTCATTGTGAAGCCAAACTGTAGATTCTAGCTCCATGACTTCCTCATGGGAAGAACTCAGCTTATCTAATCACTGGAATCATCTTGGCATGATTTCCTACAAGCTGGTGGTGATGGCCAACGGGCGACATCGTCCATTTTTACCTTTTGTTGGGTTTTGATGCTGAGTTACTGCAGTAGCAGCTAGCTGGTTTTTACAGATACCCCAAAGTTCAGAACGCAAAGGTGACTGTTCCTCACTTGTTCTTGTTTTGTTTTCAGGGAGGCTTTCATTCTGTAGCCCAGGCTGATCTGGAATTGAGAGCAATCTCCCTCCCTCTGTCACTCCAGTGCTGGGCTTGCAGGTGTGAGCTGCCACACCCATCTGCTACTTTTAGTAGAATTTTCTAGTTTAGGAGCCAAACTTCAGGTCACCACCTTTAGGTTTCAATGTTGGGATCCTCAGGTGGGAGTGGGGAACCATGTTTTTCAAAGGAAGAAAAAGCTATGTAGGTTGCAGGTGGTTTTTTTTTTTTTCTTTTTTATCTTTCTGCCCTAGTCTGTGCCTACTGCAAAACTCAGGGACTGTTTTGTTGTTGTTTGGTTGGGTTTTTTGTTTGTTTTTGGTTTTTTGAGACAGGGTTTCTCTGTGTAACAGCACTGGCTGTCCTGGAACTCACTCTGTAGAGCAGGTTGGCCTTGAACTCACAGAGATCCACCTGCCTCTGCCTCCTGAGTGCTGGGCCTAAAGGTGTGCGCCACCGCCTTCCAGCTGGGAACATGTTTTTTGTTGAAGCTTTTTGCCTGTAGAGCTATGAAAGTACATCATGGAGGTTTGAGATGGAAAGTAAGCAGCGTGGTTCTGCTGCAGCTAGACAGATGTGCCATCAAGGATCCATTTTCTTCCATTTATCCAGTTAACTTCTGTCTTAGTTACTTTTTATCACTGTGATAAGACACTTAGAGAAGAAAGAGTTTATTTGGGGAGTAGTTTCAGGTTAGTCCATAGCCATCATGACTGGGAGAATGGCAACAGGCAGGCGGTAGCGTTTGGGTAGAAATCTCTTGTCTGTCACTTGCAAGACAGTAGTCATGGCAATGCACAGACAGGTCTTTAAGGCCTGTGCCAATCATAACGGACTGTGCATGTAAATGGTGCAGTTACAACAAGCAACAGTCAGGGGAAATTACCAGAAAAAAACACTGAACTCAGAGATGGGCCTTGAGGTCTGTTTGGGAACCAGTGTTTCATGCCAGGTTTCCATCAGCTTGGAAAGGAAGTGAGTCTGACAGTGATCTTCCACTAGCGTAGACCACTGCATTTTCCAGACCAGAAAACACGGAAGATACATTTGCTTCTTCAGGGCAGAAATGGCTGGACTGTTCAGAGAGTGGGCTCCTTGCCTCTCCTTACCCTTCCTGATATCTCATTCACATCTCTGTATTTGGTCTTTGGTTTTCATGTTGGTTTATTTTCTTCTGCCTTAGTGGTTTTTTTAAGACAGTCAAGGAAATTCCTGGGCAGCTTTATTACTTTTGTGAAAGCGTGGGAAACAAGCCATATGTTTATCTACAGGAGAGTTATATAAAGCCCAACAATATTAGACGTGCAATACAAAGGACCAAATCGAGCCAGGCGTTGGTGGAGCACACCTTTAATCCCAGGACTGGGGAGGCAGAGGCAGGCGGATCTCTGTGTTTGGAGACCAGTCTGGTCTACAAGAGCTAGTTTCAGGACATCCTCCAAAGCCACAGAGAAACCCTGTCTCGGGAAAACAAAATCCAAAGGCCCAAATCACTGATGCAGTGACTTGGACACATTCAAGAGCATTGTGCTGTGACACAGATGGGAGACACTGAAGACTGTCTAATGTGGGATGCCATTTATGTGACATTCCACAACAGAAGAAATCAGTCTATAGCCATGGAAACCAGAACAGCATTCTGGTCATAAGTAGGTATTTATCTTTTACAAAGGAATGGCAGCAAGGAGGCAGGCTCCTGGGGAAGGGGGGTGAAGACATGGACACAGTCTGGGTTGGGAGACTAGAGAGTGTCGTCTCCACCAGACTCCCTCACTGGATGGCTCTTAAGCTTCGGGACTCTCAGGATAGGCTGTTGCTCCTGATCTAGTTCCCCCGAGGCTTCTACCCAACCTTCTATGCTGCCTCAGCAGCAGGGCCTCCAGGCGTTGTCATGAAGTCCGTTTCTGCTGTGTTTAGACGCGGACTCACTTGTCTCTGAACTTTGACCTCTCTTCTAAGAATGACTCATTTGATTGTGCAGCCTGAGTCTTACTGACTATAAAGATCAATGTTCACACATCGCTCGCCGCCCTGGAACCTGGCTTCTGCAGAACTTTGCTCAGGGTTTCTCAGAATTGGCACTGACATTTTGGGTGAGAAAATTCTTGGTGGCAGGGGGGACTTCTGTGCAGTTAGGCTGTTCGGCAGCATCCTTGACCTCTTCCGTTTAGAAGGCAGCAGCCCTGTGTGTTCACACATTGCAGATGTCCCTCTGAGGGCAAAAAATCACCCCTAGTTAAGAAACCTTGGTTTAGCTAATTTCTGAACAATCGTGAAGCGAAAGCTCCCACTTGGCTGCTCTTCCCCATTTTTTCTGTCTTGTGGCTTTAAGATACTGGAAATAAGAAGTGATGGTCATATGTCTTCAGAAGCAGGGACTGCGGTTCTGACTCCTGTTGTATGACAGGGAATGTGTCCTGTGGGTAGGAGCTGAGCCAGAGAAGAATGACAAGTGGCCTTCTCTGGTGAACCTGGAAGTGGTCCCTGGCTATCCAAGACTGTGTTATAGGTCAGTCCCCACCCCTACCCCCATCCCTTGTATCTTGTTTGTGAGAGAGTTGCATGCTAGGGCCATTTTTTAAAAATTGTCTTTATGTGTGCATGAACACACACACACACACACACACACACACACAGACATGGGTCATTTATGGAGGTCCAAGGACAACCTAGAGGAGTTGATTCTCTCCTATCCTGTGGATCCTGGAGACGGGCTTGGCAACAAGTGCTTTCCACACTGGGCCACTGTGCCCACCCTACAATCATATTTGATACTTTTTTCCAAACGTGTTGGTGGCAATGGAAGCTCTATCTACCTACCCGTAAGTGATCTTTTTTTTTTTTTTTTTTTTTTTTTTGGTTTTTCGAGACAAGGTTTCTCTGTGGCTTTGGAGGCTGTCCTGGAACTAGCTCTTATAGACCAGGCTGGCCTCGAACTCACAGAGATCCGCCTGCCTCTGCCTCCCGAGTGCTGGGATTAAAGGCGTGCGCCACCAACGCCCGGCCACGTAAGTGATCTTATTAATTATAGTCACCAGTCAACTGTCAATGCATGTAGACATTTTTGCAGAAGTTATAAAGTAGATACCTAAAATAAAACCCAGTAGCCAGATGTGGTGTCTAAGGAGGAGGCAGGTGGATCTCTATGAGTTCAAGCCCAGCCTAGTCTATGTAGTGAGTTCCAGGACACCAAGACTACATAGAAAGACCCTGTCTCAATCCTCACTACCCCCCAAAATACCCAAGCAGTAAATTTTCTTTTCTCTTTTCCTTCCCAGGGCTCCCCAGATATATATGACCATGAAGTCACCATAGCAGCCGAGGCCTATTTGCCTGTGGATGAGACTCTGATTCCTACAGGTCAGTGAATTTAAACTATTATGCCATGTAGAACCACAGTTCTCAGCCAAGGAAAAGGTGTTACTGTGTAAACCATTGCTTGTTCACCTTTACTAGGTAAAAGTGGTGGTTTAGCTAACTAGCATAATGATGTCAGTCTCTTCAGTTTGGATATGCATCATGTCTATACAAGATGTCAACAATAAGGGAAGTAGATGAAAAGTATAACACAGATGTATTCTTTTTTTTTTTTTTTTTTTTTTTTTGGTTTTTCGAGACAGGGTTTCTTTGTGGCTTTGGAGGCTGTCCTGGAACTCGCTTGGTAGTCCAGGCTGGTCTCGAACTCACAGAGATCCACCTGCCTCTGCCTCCCGAGTGCTGGGATTAAAGGCATGCGCCACCAACGCCCGGCCAGATGTATTCTTTTTAACCACATTTCTGTAAATCTAAATTATTTCAAAATTTCAAAGTGAAAAAATGACTTCACTTTACCAGACACCTGTCTTACACAAGGAAAGTGTTTGGTCTCTTTAACACAGTTGTTTGTGGAGCCGGACGTTGGTGGCGCACGCCTTTAATCCCAGCACTCGGGAGGCAGAGGCAGGCGGATCTCTGTGAGTTCGAGGCCAGCCTGGTCTACAGCGTGAGTTCCAGGACAGCCTCCAAAGCCACAGAGAAACCTTGTCTCGAAAAACAAAAAACAACAAAAAAAATGTTTAAAATTCCTTTCCTTGAGAAAATATGCCACTTTTTTTAAAAAGCTTTACCCAGCCTGCTCTGTCCCCCACCCCAGTTCACCCGCTGTCCCTGCCGCCGTGTGTTTCTGAAAGCTCTCTGTAAAACCTTGTGAAAGCAGCCCCATTCTGACCAAATTAGAACTCTGGTCGGAAAGACTGACCACAGGCTGCCCAGGGAGGCTCAGCAAGACGCTTCAATTTTATTTCAACCTCTCTCCCCATTCAACCTTCAACACATCTGTAACCCCAGCACTCTGGAGACTGAGGCAGGAGGATTGCGGCAAGTTTGATACATAGTGAGTTCAAGGGCAACCCCAGATTCATAGCAAAAGTCTGTGTCTAAATCAAATAAATTAGACGGCTAGCAAGATGGGAAAAGGCCCTCATTTGAGCCCTGGGACCTCCATGGTAGCAGGAGAGACTTGATGCTTGAAAGTTATCTTCTGAATGCCACACGCTCACTGCGGCACACATGTGTCCACACTCATATGCATGCATCTCTCTCTCTCTCTCTCTCTCTCTCTCTCTCTCTCTCTCTCTCTCTCTCTCTCTCTCTCTCTCTCGCGCGCGCGCGCGCGCGCACTAAAGAGGGAGGGAGGTGTGACAGTAAAAAATTAGGCCCCTGGCATTAGAGCTGCTTGTTCCAGGACAGGTCCTGCCTAAACAGCATCAAGGAGATCACTGCAGGTTCCCTAGGACTCACCTGATGACACTGATGCTTCCCAAGGGACACATTTCTGAGGGCCTCCCCACAAAATGATCCCAAGAACAGTTTTGTGAGACTCCAGAATAACTCCTTGAGCTACTTGTGTTCCCTGCTAGGAAACACATCACCCACTGCTGCAAGCTTGGCAAACGTGAGCCAGCCTGCTGGAAATTTGGCATAAAGACAGCTCAGAAGTGAGTGTTCAGCCAGGCTCCATGGAATTCCTGTGATAATTGCAGGCATACTCAAGTGAATTTGTCATAGTGGAAGTTATTTACCAGAGTTCTGATCACTTAGAGGTCGGTTTATCACTCATGTCTCCCTCCCCCAAGTCCAACAAAGGTGCCTAGAATGCTTAGGGTCCTTCTATCCCAAAGAGGCTGAAGGATAATGGGACTTCAAATAATGACTCAAGTGAGCTCCCAGAGCAATCTTGAGTTCAGCTCATGTCCATACAGTGCTGACTAACTTCCACACGACTAGAGAGAGAATGGAACACTGGAGAAGCCATGGAGGAGCTCCCGGAAGAGTCTCATGTGGCTTGATTGTGCTAGAGATGTTTAGGAGATAAAAATCAGGGGCCTGGGGCTGGGGCTGGGGAAGACAGCTCAATGAGTGCTTACAGTCTTGAGAACCCATATATATTAGGTGTCTTAGAGCATGCCTATAACCCCATATATATCCATAATGAGATCTGATGCCCTCTTCCGGTGTGCAGGCATATATACAGACAGAACAATAAATAGATAAATCTTAAAACAAAAACAAGGTGGACAGCACCTGAGGAACCACCCTGAGATTGTTTTTCGGTGTCCTCTAGGCAGTAGAAATGATGAATTAAATAGTGATTAAGTGGTTGTGGGTGAGGGGAGGAAGGGAGTTTCACGTGCGGAGGACAGGCTTAGAGAAGAGCTAAGAGAGCGATGGGTTTGCCTCAGAGAGCTGTGGGGCAAACCTTGTGGGTTCCCAGGAGGAAAGAGACCCAAACTCAAGGGGCCCGAGGAAACCACTAATGTTTTTTTAGGTATGAGAAAGTTCTGAGCAAAGGGTGCTGCTGCTGACCCCACTGAACAGCCGCTGGTGAGCATGGGGAGCGACAGGAAGTGAAGAGAGAGCGGCCTGTGAGTGGTTCTCAACAGAGATGACTTGAAAGGAGTCCTGGGCCTCATCCCTGAGTTCCTTTGCTGTAGGCCTGTCTGTCTGTAGGTCTGTCTGTCCCCAGTAGGCAGGGAAGAAGAGAGAGGACACCTCCAAGAGGCATGGGTACCAGTGAAGTTAGGATTTAATCAGAAGAGAGACTTGTCAAGTAAAATGGTTATGAGAGAACTCGGGGAATCCATCTGATGAAGACTGAGACCCCAAATCCATGTAGTCTCAGCTGGGGCTTCTGTGAGCTTCCTCCTGGCTCTTTCAGACGTCTGGACAAAGAAGGTGGCCTGACCCGCTGCTGGGGTTGTCAGATGAAAGGGCTGGAGGTCACTAACCCTTAGCTTGGGGCCATCACCAAGGGTGTGAAGGATGGAAAATGCTCAGAAAGAAAGTAAGGTGACACCGTCACCGGGACCTGGCAGACTCTGGAGAAGACCAGACTCGCCGGGGACTTCCTGCCTGTGGCTGAGCCAGAAGAGCAGAGGGCAGCAGCAGGGTGAGCTTTTCACTTAAGGGCAAATCCCCGTATGCAGTGCCGATGGGGACCTAAGATGGAAAAACACTGTCATGTAAATGCCTTGTGTGGGGTTAGCTGTGAAAAATTGTCTTCTCACCTGAGAGTGACCTGCAATTCAGATTAGCTTTTCCTGCTGTGGATGTCATGTCATATCTGGAAGCAGTACCCTCCCCCCTGCAAGTCATAGTTAAAATTCAGAAAGTACTCAGTGGAATGGAAAGGGGCTTATGGGGGGACGGACCCACCCACACAGTGGCAGAATGAAGCCACAAACACAGCTACACAGCACAGAAAAGTGCAGGCAAGCTTTGAGGTGGCGTGATCTGTGAAAATGTATAATGCTGCCTTTACAGAAAAACCCCAAGGTGCTTTACTTGCCGACGGCTGGGATGGAGTAAAAACTCCCATCTAGGGTGTTGCTTTTCATTATCATCCTCTCTATGTTGTTTCCTAAAATAATAACTGCCATTCTGGAAACGATTTACCAAGCTAGCTTAGTGAGGTAACAGCAGCCCTGTTCCGTTCCTGAAGGCCCCTTCATGCAGATCTGACTGTTCCCAGCCTGACTAGCTAAAGACACAGACATGATTGGAGCGGCTGGTCCGTCCCCATGGAGACCAGACTCCAGCCCCCAGTGCTGCTCTGCTGTCGTCCTCGCTCCTTCTTCAGTGGTCATGCCTCAGCCCATCTGAGCCCAGGTCTGTGCTGACCAGTCACTGAGGAGCTTATGAAACAGAGAGAGAGAGAGAGAGAGAGAGAGAGGGAGGGAGGGAGGGAGGGAGGGAGGGAGGGAGGGAGGGAGGGAGGGAGGGAGGGAGGACTTCATGTATTCCAGACTGGCCTGAAACTCTAGTTAAAGAATAACCTTTCATTTCTGGCTCTCCTGCTTCCATTGCCCAAGTGCTGGGATTGTAGGCAGACAGCACTCGGTCCATGCAGTACTGGTGATCAAACCCAGGGTTTCACATATCCTAGGCCAGCACTCTACCAACTGAACTACATCCCCAACCCAAAAAAAAGCATTATCAGAAGACACAGTATTTTTAAACTTTGTGTGTATGTGCTTGGTGCTGGGGATTGAACCGAGGGCCTGAGTATGCTACGAAAGTACCTTCCACTGTGGTACATCCCCAGCAGACCAGGCTGGCCTCAAATTCACAGAGACCCGCCTGTCTCTGACTCCTGATCCTTTTTTTAAAAATAATTTATTATTCAATTAAAATAGTGTTCTGCCTGCATGTATGCTGCCTGCCAGATGAGGACACCAGACCTCATTACAGATAGTTGTGAGGGCTGGAGAGATGGCTCAGCCGTTAAAGGCTAGGCTCACAACCAAAAATATAACAGATAGTTGTGAGCCACCATGTGGTTACTGGGAATTGAACTCAGAAAGAGCAGCCAGTGCTCTTAACGTCTGAGCCATCTCTCATCTCTCCAGCTACGCTCCCCCACCCTTTTTTGTTTGTTTGTTTGTTTGTTTTTATTTTTCAAGACAGGGTTTCTCTGTATTGTTTTGGAGGCTGTCCTGGAACTGTCTCTCTCTCTCTCTCTCCTTTGTTGTTATTTTTGTTGCTTTTTGTTTTTGTTTTTTGGTTTTTTTTTTTTTTTTTTTTTTTTTTGAGATAGGGTTTCCTGTGTAGCTTTGGAGGCTGTCCTGGCACTCACTCTGTAGACCAGGCTGGCCTCGAACTCACAGAGATCCACCTCCCTCTGCTCCCCCTCCCTCCATGCTGGGATTAAAGACGTACACCACCAATGCCCAGCCGCCCCCCCCTTTTAAGGAAGAAAACATTTTCCTACTAAGCTCACCAAAGGTTTCTAGAGACCTTATACCAGATTTAAAGTTTTTAAATTACATATTTTTAATTCACCGTGTGTATTCACAGCCTCGTAGCCTGTGTGGAGGTTAGAG